GAACTTCTAGTGACTTAAATGAGAGTTTTATGAATGAAACGATGGCAGATTGGTGACCTTAGTCATCTGCGGTGACATGAAGGTCCCTTGACATCAATGGCAGTTAGGCTATTGATTTCACCAGGGCAAGACGTTACCCATAATTTCTAAAAACAGCTATAGTATCGTGCTGTGAGTGTAACTACAAAGACTTCAAAAACACTGACATTATAAAAGGCGGTGTGAGGAAGAAAAGGGTTCAAAGTACAAGAAAAGGATTATGCTGCATTACATTTTTCATTAATTACAAGTTGGTGTTTCAGAGCTACTGTCCTTCAAACAAGGGTCAGCTTGACTCCCAAACAGCTAGACACTGTCATGACAGTGAGTCAACTTCCAAAATTTGTAAACCTGAAGAAATTCATCAATAAAATGTGTAAGAGAATCACAGATCAAACCATGGAGGTACAGAAGAGGTTTGGCTTCAGTGTCTGGGTACGGAGGATGCTAAAAACCAATGAGGTGGGATTTATAAGGAGAATTTGGTGCAGATTTGAGACAGCAGAAGCGCTTATTAAAGAAGTTCTACTTTTTGACTTTCTATCTTTAATAAATGATGATTATTACGATTCTTTTATTTCATCTGGACTTCCAACTGTCTTGTATGACATACGTCATTCTCTTTTCCTTTCCCCACAGCGTCCACTAGCCATTTCTGTGGTAGGACAGATGAAAGATCCTACCTTTGCAACATTTATGTACTTGCTATCCTGTGGGAAGCAGTCTTCCTTCTTCTGCTCCCAAGGACAGGAATACACTGTGGTCTTCTGGGATGGGAAGGAAGACACCAGGTGAGACAGCCCATGTTAGTAATTTCTTTCTTTATTTATTTGTCCTTTTTAGGTAAAAATCCTTCAGCGTCTTCACTTATGCCTCTGGGAGGGAGGTAAAGAAGGTGAAAGTGAATTTGGGTGAATGCCAAGGATATGGTGAACACTGTTTTCCCAAACTCTTTTAATTGGGAACAGTGGTTGCTTTATAAAGGATATTTAATGAGCTTAACTCTGCTTCAGTTAATATGAGGAGAAGATTAGGGCAGGGTAATGATTCACACACACAGGATGAAGCATTTGCACATGAGAACAGACGTGTTCTGCCTTTCCTAATGAGGCCATTTAACACTAAACCTTTCCTAATTGAGACTGCAGTTCCATCTCTCTTCTGCAAAGCAATTAAGCACATGCTTAAATCCTATTGAAATCATCAGGAGTTAACCACATGCCTGAAGCTGTGTGTGCATCCAAGTGTATACTTTCAGTAAAATGTATGCTATACTGAATAGGCATGTGCTTTAAATGTTATTAAATTGTGACGGAGATTATGGTATTTTGCTCAGCCACACGTGACCCATGGCTAGTTAGGTTTATTCTTACGGATTTTACTGATTTTTATAGCCCCAATCTTATTTGGAAACATTCACAAACTGATCTGAAATTTATATTAACGTGTTCATTATTTGTAAGCATTAACCTAATGGGAAAGGTATGTGATTTGTTCATGAACTATTTGCTTTGCTATTTGTGGTGCCTGGTCAGTCATTCAGTGCAGACAGTATAACTATTCCTGCTAAAACTGGAGGAACACATGGGACTCACAGATGTATTTTGAATACATGGATGTTGTCCAAATATTCACAGCAATATATCTCAGTGAATCTGCTTCCTGACTGGACAATCCACTTGCTGGAAACTGCTGAATAACAAATTACTTGTATGTGACAGATTTCAGGATGTGTAATTGCTTGTGCCACAGTTGGTAAAACATCTGGGGCTTACAGATGTGCTCGTGAATATCCAGTTATTGTTCAAGCACACAAACCCAATAAATGTCCCCAAACAAACAAAATTCTGTTTGCTAAAAAAATATTAATTAGTCATATTTATAAATTATTTTATCAGGTTACAGATCTTTGCTCTTATTTGGAAGAATCATGCTCTTCTGTTTACGTACTAGAATAAGTAATGAAGCCAGATAATACCGAGGCAGGGAACTTGGAGAACGAGCATGTATTCTCTTGAGAACCTAATGGGCGAGAGGGGCTAAGACCTCCCAGCTATTAATTACTGCTATTCAGCTGGAGCTATTTGTCTCACAACTGAATTATAGTAACAGACCACATAAATTCTCCTAATCCATTTCCGTGCAAGGTCAGATAGCTGAGTTGAAATTGCACGTCTGCCCCCAGAGGAAGAGCCATGGCACAGCTGTATTTCTCTTCCTTTGCAACGATTATTTGGAGGGATGTAGATGCTTGCAGCATCATCCACGTCTGGACACTCATCTTACGGCTTGGCCAAAAGTGCCAAGTACCATCCCGCAGCAGTTTGCAGGATGAATGTTGGCTATAGGAAATTGTTATTTGCTCCTTTCAGAAACTACACGGTGGTGAATCCGGAGAAAGGAGTCATAGAAGTGGAGAGGATGAGCTGCCCAGGAATGAAGCTATGCTGCCAATTAAAATTTCAGAATGCCCTCTGGGCTGCCACTGAGGTGAGCGTTGCCCACGCTTCAGTGCTCCGCTCACGAGGGGCGTCATTAGAAGAGGCACAAACGAAGAGAGAGCCAATTAAATTAATAAAGCTAAGAGTGTCTGAGACAATAGGCGTCTCAGATGAGCAGCGTGACTTTGCCATCTCGGGGCGTATTGTTTCGGCCTGTTTCTTAGCTGATACCTAGATCAAAGTCGTGCCTCCTGGTGTTCAAAGCGGTGGTGGGAACCTCGACTTTCTGAGGCGGAGCTCTCCGGGTCGCAGCATATCTGTACCTAGGATTTCTTCTGGGAAATGTCCTTATCTGTAAGCGATAAAGGGAAGCAGTGAGAGAAACCATGCACTTAAGGGTGGGGTTTTGAAGGAGGCTCGAGGGATTTGCAAGTTGGTGGGAAATGGGTACCCAAGTTTTGTGTTCACCGTGGAAAACTGCAGCTAAAAAAAATAAGAGTGAGAGAGTATGGCTGATTTATCCCTCTGAGCCCCTGTCCATGCCTCAAAAAGGGCTGTGTTGTCGCCAGTTCTGACACAATCGTTTGACACAAAGCAAACAAAAAATAGCTGAAACAAATTGAAATGTTCCTGAAGCTCAGTGTTTCAGAGAGGGGAAAAAAGGCCACGCTTGCTGAATAAATAATTTGTGTTGGTTAATTCACCCCACCCTAGCGTGGGTGCTGGAACCGAGTGAGAGTGTAGATCTTTTTTTCCCCGTAGGAGAGTAAGATATTTTTCTGTTCCCACATTGAGGTAAAGTTCAAATTTTCCTATTTTTTTCATAACAAGAAGTATAGAAAACTACAATTCAGAAATCTTAAAGCATTTTATATCCACCTTTTTGATCAAAATGAAATGTGTTGCTATTCCCCAAACTGGGTGCTCTATGTTAGTTTAGTAGATTCACGAGGTGTAGAGCAGGTGTGATTCCACGTACAATGTAATACTAGCTTTCCTTGAATGACAGATTAATGCAAAATAACTAGCAAGATGTCTCAATTGTCCTGACATATTTGGGATTTGTTGGGGTTGGTGGGAGACCCATCCGTATAGTTCATTTTTGGAAGAATTTTAAAAATTAAAAAAAAAAAAACCAATAGAGTCAGGGTTGTCAAGTGCTACTTTTAGATGTGGTGATGAAACACCTATAGTGGTGATTTTGATGGCTTTTGGATAGTGCGTGTACTGCCCACAGCTCATTCTGGGGAAGGCAGTAACCTGCTTTCTACCTGCAGACAAAGCAAATGCTCTCCAGGGAAAACAAGGAGAAATCCAGGCTTTGGATATCAAAAAATACAAGTAAAAACTGGGTTTGGAACCAATTTGATCTTGGTCAGATACCAAAATATGAAAAGGATGGAAGATGATGGAAATTCATAGAATTTTATGTGCTCTTTCACAGGACCAGAAGATTTCTGTGTATGGGTTGCAGGGCATGTGTCCTCTAAAGACTCCGCAGAAGGGTTTAGACACTCCTGCTACCGTGAGCTGCTTTCTAGTAATTCCTGTTGTCAAAAAGGTAAGGAGGAACCTAAAGGAAAAGGGGCATTAGTGCGACTAAGCTGTCTTCTGCCGGGCCAAGCTGCCAGAGTTCACGTGGCTTGTCACTAGCTAGTGTTGAAGGACTTTACAGTGCCCAGGAACATTTTGGCAGTGCGAAGAGAAGGTTTCCAGGTCTTTGTGCCTCTGCCAGAAGACAGAGGTGTGGGCAAGAACCTGAGTCGGGGGACCAAAGCTGGCACTTCCAAGCCTGCTGGGAAAAATTCTTCTGCAAGGAAGTTTTCCAGCTGTGTTTCCACATCACTGGAAGACAGGGTTTAGGCTGATCAAGCAAAGTAGAATGGACATGAAACAATAATTAGAATAGAGATTTGTTAGCTGCTAATGCAGGACTGGGATATATCCTAGCTCTGGTTCCCACTCTTTTCCTGCTGTGTGTGCCTGCTGTCATTTGTGTGCACAGTCATCTTTAAATATTATCTAGGCTCAGCCACGCTTCTGTTTGGTTTTCAATGAGAATAACAAATTTCAACAGATCTAACAAATAACAAATGGGTAATAACAAAAGTTATATACTATCTGTCTAGTTCTGGAATTGCTAACATCCAGTTACTGGCAAGAGGAATCTGACATGACTGCCTATTGCGGGCAAGTCTTGGGAGATGTATAAAAACTGTTTTCAGGCTAAATTACCTCCGGTTTACTTACAGCCACCTCAAGTAAAAACACATAATTATGTTCCAACATTATTGGTAGCTGTGTAGTTTTTGCAAATGCCAGCAGACTGGTATGTGTCTAACAGCTCAATATGGAGCGGCTCTCGGAGCGAGGGTGGAGCTGCTTTATACCACATGCCCGTTATGCGTTATTGTCCATTTCTGGCTCGTTTGCTCGGACTGCTGCATCACTGCAAACTGAATCCGAGGCAGATGGTTAGTGTAAGGTGTGCTGCTTCACTTCCAAACATGGTGTAAGTAGGACTAAAGTAGGGCATAGATCTGAAGTTGGCACAGGGATGAATCTCACCCACCGGGAGGCTGCATCTGTCGGCTTGCTTTGGCTGCCGGACCTGCAGCGTTTCTCTGCCGTGGGCTTTCATTTCTGATGTGTAGGGCAAATTTCTTTTTCATGCTGCCTGAGGTTTTGTCCAGGACAGTCGAATGAGTCTTTCACTTTCAGCTTTTCCACTGTCATACAGCTTGCAAAGCCATTCCTCAGGGGTTACGAGTGGCTTTATGTCTCCTGGTTTCTATTTTCAGTTTGTGGCTTGCCTAGAAAATGTCATAAATAATGCCAGGCTCTACAATAGTAATATTGAGTCTAGACACCTCCCTTCCTCCCCCGACCCTACCCAACCTTCCAGAAATCCACATCCCTTCAGCGCACTCCTTCTTAGTTTATTGGACTTACTTTTTCCTCTCTCCTTTCTATGAATGAGTTTGGCAGTGAAATAGCCAGAGCAGCAGCCTTAAGGATGTGCAGACCAGGTTGGCAAGAAACCGTTTTTCAAAACAGCCAGTTCTTCCAACAAAGCTAAGTGGAACGCTTACACTTGTCAAACTCGCTGTACGGCGCAGCAAGCTCTAGCAGGTTTATCACATAGTCATCATTGTCCAGCGGAGAAGAGAATTGCTCGCATTTCCCTGGGAAGAAAGCTTTTAGCTGATGAGATGTGAGGTAACTAGCAGTCAGAGAATTGCCGAGGGATGTTGCTGGGAAGGGGAATTCTTTACGACTGCCTTGGGAAGACTGATCCAAAAGAAATAGTTTCCAAAACTTGGTTTCTCATCCAAAGGAAGCATCATGGAAATTTAAAAGCAGCAGAGAGGGGCCCAGAATCCAAAACTCACCCGCCAAGGAAAAGTTTTGTACAATTTAAGCTTTTTTGTTGCATGCTTTCTGTCACCAGTATCATTGGTTTTGGCAAACAATAAAATTTTCAGTAAAATTCCTTTAAAAAAAAAAAAAACCCAAACCAAATAAGCAAACAAACAGGTTAAAAAGAGCAAAACAAGATGCTTTCTGAATTGGTTTGCAGCAGTCTTACAAAGAGATGTTGAGGGAGAGAGAAATCTGAATGGGTGCAAGCCTCTGGCCTCTTGCAAAAACCTGGAACACACGAAAACAAAAGCTGCATTTAAAGGCTGCAGCCTGCCGCAGCGTTCACTGCCAGCAGTGCCAGACCCTGCGGGGAAGAGAGGAGGAGGTGACCGAGGCTGTGGTGTCGGAGGCTGTATTTTGTTTTTTTTAACCTGCTCGCAGCGGCCGTCCCGATGGCTCCGAGCCTCGCGCTGTCCTTAGCTGCGAGGACAGGACGTCTGGAGCCAGCTCATCTCCTGCACATCGCATACCGTCACAGCCCCGCTCAGAGGCCTTCCTCCCTGGCACAGCGGGACTTCTGGCAGGACGGGGACTTCAAATGCAGTTTTGTTGCTCTGTGTTTTTGTTGGCTCTTTGCGGAGCCCAAATGTTGAAAATGAATTCTGAGAAAGTTACTTAAGGTTTCTGGAGGCTGCTGCCCTGCCTGCCTTTGGTCACTGTTGTAATACCCTGATTTGGAGAGTTTTGCCTCGCTGCACCGGCACCTAATAAAGTCTAGCGAGTCGGTGGCACCCATGGGTGGGTGGCCTTTGCCATAGTCTTCTGTGAAATGGGTCGCTCCCTTGTCTCAGGCGAGGGATGGCAGGTTGAAGGCATTTCTCAGCTTTTGAGTTCCTACTCCTTGTTTCTTAAACAGAGAGATAACAACAGTGGCTAGATAGAAACAGGCCTGGTAGCCAAGATTCTGAGTAATAACTGTCCCAAAGCATAAAATATCTTCCAGAGTCAGCATTACCACTAAAGCTGGGTGGGGATCACTGACACAGCTCTGCCCTGTTACGGTGCTGATTGCCCGGTGCCGGGGAAATTTGGCCTATGGAACCCAAAAAGGAATCTGGGTTCTGTTCTGCAGTAGCTGACACTAATCACAGAAATCAAAATATTTTTTAAGAAGACTATGCTTGGGTAATTCAGCATTTTCAAATGAAATGAGACAAAATTATAGAGATCTCTGAAGTCTTTAATAGTGTCCTGTGTCACGCTAGGAGCAGTTCACGTTGATGTACCCACATTATGGTTAATTTTAGATGTTCCCATTTCAATTTAAATTTTCCATTTTTAGTAAGAAATATTGTGCAGGGTCCTTAGGACTGAAAAAGTTGGACTATTTCACATTTCAGAGAAATATGGGCTGTTGTGCTTTGTTTTGTTCTGTTTTAAATAATTGAACTCCTTTCCAAAGAAAAAGTAACCCAAAACCCAGCTTGTGCAAAGCATCGTGCCATGTTCCAACCTGTTGATGCAACTCCTTGGCAAACCCATATGCAGCAGCCTTTGCACCAGATCCACATGGCAGCAGGGACATGGCACCAAACACTGCAGGCCGTTTGGGTTTCTTTTAATTAGTGTTTAGAGACTTGGGACTGGACTGAGTTAGAGTCCAAGTCCCATTTCACAACTTTCCACTTGCTTCCCTAGTTTTTCCCATTACAGTAAAATTCTGCTGTGATTTGGATTAGTCATACAGGCTCAGCACACTCATGGTTTTACTCATACTTTGTATGCAGATAGTGTCTTTCTGTCCAAGACTCTTAACGAGCCTTGCAAACAGTGCTATCCATTAAACTAATACTTACCCCTGTGGTATCTGCCCCTTGATACCTGTGAGCAATTCAAGATACTGATTTTGGCCTCCAGAGGTTTAAGCATCTGGGAGCTATCTTCCACGGCTGGCACAGCCAACATCCCTGGAAGGGCACAGGCTTTCCCTTAATTTACGGGCAGCAAGGGGTGACGCCGCGTCCCCGTCCCATCTCGCAGAGGCGGGCGGCGGCGCTGGCGTCCCGG